ATTTGACTCTTGATGAATGCGTCACAAATATAATTGGAATAAGGTTCAAATTGGTTACTGAACGTAACTTGAAAATGCAATTAAGTCACTGAACGAAAAAAAAAAAAAAGTATAATTAGACCACTGAACACTCCAAATATATGCAATTTCACCTGATAGCAGGTTACCATCCATTTCAACAGGTTACCTGCTTACACGGCAACAGAGTTGACATTTTTAATAATAATTTAAAAAAAAAAAACTAAAAAGAAAAACGCTGGGGTGGGTGGTAATATTTCTCCCTTATATTATTATTATTTTTTTTTTTTTGTAAAAAATTATTATTAAAAATGTCAACTCAGCTGCCACATAAGCGGATAACCTGCTGAAATGGATGGTGACCTGATATCAGGTGAAATTGCATACATTATTCAGTAGCCTAATTGCACTTTTTTATTTTTTCGTTCAGTGACCTAATTACATTTTCAGGTTACGTTCAGTGCCAATTTGAACCTTATTCCAATATAATTTCAATCTTTCAAAGGAATTAAATAGTTCACTCAAGGGTCTTTCAATGTACTATTGCAGAGCCTACAATCCAACTTTGAAGAAATCAATTACCAATCTTGGTGAACGGGAGTTCACCATCACAGCTTGACTCGTTTGCAGCCATAATTGTGGCTTCATTAAAAATGTTACGTCAAAATTAATGAAATATGAAAGGTTGTAAATTTTATTATTGTCAATCCCCTCTCAATTAAGTTTGTTATACATAATTTTTTTTAATATTGTTTACATATCTTGTATATTTGTGAATTATTACACAAACAAAATATACCTAGCATTGCATTCTCAAATTGTAAGTTTCCGTGAAAAAAAAAATGATTTTAAAATGCGATTTAGTGAAAATGTATTGACATATACACACGATCATCCTATCAAATATTAATTTAATAAAATAATATTTAAAAATAAGTAGTTAAAATTGGCAGCACACATATTTGAGGACAAGCAAACTGTTATCTAACAAACCTCCACCGGAAAGTTATAATATATTTATATAATAATAGTAATGATAATAATATATGTAGTGTGGTGCATACAACACAACATAAAGTTGTTAGATGCATGATTGGCATGTAGACTATACCCTGTGCTTAGCTAATATCCAGCAAATTCTATTTTTATTTTTATTTTTGGGTTTAGAGACTTTCTAAAAAAGTTGTACAGGTTCAATTATTGGACGTCTTTTTGTTATTATTTTAAAGTATTTTTCACATTTCAGGAAGAAATTTTTGCAACATAATTTGCCACTGCTTCAACTTTTTTTTAATTTATTTCCCCAAAGATAAATTTGTACTTCCACCACATAGCAAGGTTATCACAAACACACCTACCGATTTTATATATATATATATATATATATATATATATATATATATATATATATATATATCACGTGCGAAGAGTCTTCCAGGTGAAACAGATGGGTGAGATCTGAGGTGTTGATCAAATCTAGATCAACGGTTCAAATCAATAAAAATTAAAAAAAAAACGTGCTTCTTGAGAACTGGATACATTCTCATCGTACCATAAAAAAAAATGTGCTTTCAGTGCTAAAAGTGATGCACCTTAGGTGTTAAAATAACGCATCTTTAGTGTTAAAATAACGCAACTTAAGTGTTAAAATGACGCACCTCAAGTGTTAAAATGACGCACTTTAAGTGTAGAAGTTATGCATCTTAATTGTAGAACTGACGCACCTTAATTGTTAAAATGACGCACCTTAAGTTTTGAAAATACGCACCTTAAACTTTACAATTACGCACCTTACGTTTTCAAGTGTAGAACTGACGCACCTTAACTATTAAAATTGCACACCTTAACTACTAAAATGACGCATCTTAAGCTTTGAAAATACGCACCTTAAACTTCACAATTACGCACCTTACGTTTTCAAGTGTATAACTGACGCACTTTAACTATTAAAATTGCACACCTTAACTACTAAAATGACGCACCTTAAACTTTCAACAATACGCAAAATTACCATAATAATGCAACCGCATTTAAAAATAAAAATTATATTCATTCTGTGTGGTTGATTTTGGCAAGATCAATAGTTATGATTAATCCACATGTTTTACCTAAGCAATGTTTCGCATTTAATCCGATATATATATATATATATATATATATATATATATATATATATATATATATATATATATATATATATATAGTTGCGTTCGCATGAAGACAACAATATATAGAGGACTGGTTCAGGTGCGGCAGTGTCTATATATATATATATATATATATATATATATATATATATATATATATATATATATATATATATATATATATATAGGCGGGTTCAGGTGCGGCAGTGTCTTACGGTGCGGCAACACCAATAGTTCACCAAATATGCACCATCAACGTTAGGAAATACACCACACAAAACAGAGTAAACAGAGCCCTGCATCACCAAACACACACCATTAGGTGTGAGTAAAAACACCATACACTGTTCGGAAATACACCATTGGGGGTGGTGAGTTATATAGTGTGTTTTTTTGAGTCTGTGGTGTATTTTGTGATGTTTTATTACATTTCATTGGGGTGTGTTTTTATTACACTGTTGGTGCATATTGTTAACACTGTTGGTGTATTCTGGAATTTGACCGCACCGCCGCACCGTAAAACCCCGCCGCATATGAGCGCTCTTCTATATATATATATATATATATATATATATATATATATATATATATATATATATATATATATATATATATATAGGGTTCTTTTCTGGTGCACACCCTTGTTTTAATGTGAACTAGTGGACTGTTGTGGTGCACTGATTTGTGCGATCTGACGGTTGGAGATTTGGTGCATTGTAGTTCCCGTGCACTGCCATGTAGGGGTGCATTTCAGAGTTTGCGATAAACTAATTTTAATAAATTGTGCGTGTTTCCTGCAAACTATGCGGTCGTTCATCATTTGTGTTTTTTTTTTGTTTTTCCGTAGCACATACCCTGGAGAGATTTGCGCGTGGAACCATGGAAAGCACCGCACCACAGACTACCGGCGACTACGGCATGCCGCCGCTGCAACCCCCTCCGGGCAATCCACCAGGTACGTCCCCCATGTTCACAGAGCAGCATGATGACAAGCAACAACCTTTTCCGGTGCACCAATACCCTATGCGCTTGCAAACCACCGACGAGCCAGAACTCTTCTTCTGATCTTGACATCCAAAAGCCAGTCAGAATTTAATGAAGTTAATTAAGCTTACATTTTGTCAAATGCTATGTTTAGAGACTTTTCACTTTTGCAGTGGTTAGATTTGCGCGTGGAACCATGGAAAGCACCGCACCAGAGACTACCGGCGACTACGGCATGCCGCCGCTGCAACTCCCTCCGGGTAATCCACCAGGTACGTCCCCCATGTTCACAGAGTACCATGCCAACCAATAACCTTTTCCGGTGCACCAATAATAGTTCAAATAGTTCGGAAAAACTTCTTCTACCTCTACTGTTGAGAACGAATTGAAATTTAATTTTTAAAGCTTTGTTGTGGAAAGAAATTCTGAATTTTCCATTTTTTTTTTTTTTGGAATGCTTGTTTATGCGAATTGTACTATGAGCCAAGCTCCCCTAGCCCAGTGTGTTGGATCGGATATTGATTATCTATGAACTTAAAATTTCATCACATTTAAGTTAAACGCTCAGTATTGGAATGTTCAGCTGTCTTTCTACTGAATGTTCATATCAGTTTTACAGAATGTCTATCGGGCCTCATGTAGCTATGCTAGCAATATTACCAATGGATTGCTGAAACACTTAGAATGATAGTATATGAACTGACTATTTAAATACTTGGAACATCATGTATACATCACATTGACATATTTTTCTGTTCAGGATCGGTAATTGTTGTTATACATGTTGGTAGTGTTTGATAAAGTTTATCTAATCTGTTGTTTTGAGATTATAGAGTAAATTGTCTACTTTTACTTGTTTGGTGGCTAAGATTTTAGAACACTTTTTTAACTTACTGAAGCTAGTAATCCATAACTTACATTAAGGACATTATTAGCATGATAGGGTATTTTCTCACCACTGGAATATATAGTAATCCATATCAATTATTTGATTTAATTTAGATTAGTGGCATCATTTTCTATGAAGCAATAGTGGCATCCTGTTGTATGCTTGGGTTTTTCAAAAAAAAGAAATAGGCTTACTTCACTTGAATCATAATTCCAATCCGAACTCAAATGCGGATTGGTGTTTTGCTCGAAAAATCCGTGAATCTATATTTGATTATCGTGTCATAAGGAAAAAATGAATCAGAAATCTTTTTGGATTGAACGTGTTTTACTATTTTATCATATTTGATCATCGTAATTTCTACTCTACCTTCCCGGAGTTCATTCTCCGGGAACTCCATTGAAAATATTCCGTTGGATTCTTTACAATCTACTTTTTTTATTTATACGATCTCATTTGAAATCATATCAAGACATTTCTTATTTGATATAGCTATTTGCGCAAGTATTTTACGGTTAAGAAGCAATTGGTTCTTGTACAGATCGTGTATGAATTTACTATAACTATTATCCTTTAAATTTGTGATTTTACTTAATTAAGTCATGGGGAAGTATGCATTTAATGAAAACTGTGGCGGGTAGCATGCAATGGATGTTCTGAACCTTTTGGCAGGCTGCGTATTGCTACAATTTGTCTATTTTTTGGGGATACATGTTGACTCTGTTGCTGGTTGGGTACAGTTATTATAATATAATAGCTCAAACTAACATTTTTGGTATGCATATTCGGGTGTTGATAATTCTTTCCCCCCCCCCCCCACAGCTGACTGGAGGCAAGAGAGTGTGGGCACGGGTGGGTACATCAGTATACCAGTCAAATATTGGTGGCCTACCGTGGATAGTGCAATTACCCCAGCTGTCGGTTACCGTTTCAACACAATAGCAGAAGGGGTGCATTTCTATATGACCTATGCGAGAACATGTGGCTTCTCTGTGAGGCAAGGCACACTAAAGCGAGGCCGTGATGGCAAGGTTACAACACGTTATTTGTTATGCAACCGAGAAGGCGTAAAAGGTGGCGGTAGAAGCACCCCAAAACCAGTAGAGGGTGGCAGTGGTGGTCCGAGCACTCAACGTAGGAGACGAGTATCTAACAGGGTTAATTGCAACGCTCGAATTTGCATCACAAAAGACAAAGGTGCGGGCTTCATTGTCAGTATTTTTGTTCCCGAACACACCCACCGCATGTGCTCCGAGCCTTCGAAACTGTTTATGCGAATCAACAGAAAACTGGACGTGGCCCAGCAAGCGTTCCTTACGAATTGTATTAAAGTTAACGTGGGTGGGTCTAAAGGCTTCCGATTATACAAGGAATCAGTGGGGTCGTTCGCCAACGTTGGTGCAACAGAAACGGAGTTCCATAATTTCAAACGGGACCTCCAGTCATACGTTGCCGATAAGGACGGAGAGATGATCATTGCAATGTTTAACCAAAAACATGACGTCTGTGAGAACTTTTTCTTTGATTACTATCTTGATGAAGGAAACCATGTTGCGCGTCTTTTTTGGGCTGACCACACCGGGCGTCAAAATTTTTGAGTTTCGGTGATGTGATTTCTTTTGATGCAACGTATGGTACGAATAGGTATGTCAACGTTACACCGTTCATTCTGTGCATGCTAATCATACTGAAATGTAGTAGTCACTTAATATTGTTTTTGTGAATTTTTGTATTGTTCATGTTAAGTGCACGTTGGTGACATGTTAGTGGGAATTGGGCGGCGTCCGAATCACTAAATTTGTTGCCACCATGCTAACGTGTGAACTCGTTGTATTGCAGGTACAGTTTGGTGTTCATACCTTTTACCGGAGTAGACCATCACAAACGGTGCATTACGTTTGCTGGTGGGTTGGTAACTCGAGAAGACACTGACTCATACGTGTGGGTCCTGGAGAGATTTAAAACAGCAATGGGAAAGAGCCCCTTGTGCGTCGTAACTGATGAAGATCCGGCTATGAAGAGTGCTATTGCACGAGTACTGCCAGAGTGCCGTCATCGTTACTGCATGTGGCATATCATGACCAAAGTGAGTGAGAAGTCAGGGGCTGAACTATCAAAAGATCAGAATTTCCGTAACCAGCTTAACAACATTGTGTGGAATGAGACCATTAGCATTGATGATTTTGAAACGCAATGGCAGTCATTAATGGAGAAGTACAACTTAACGGGGCACCGATGGTTTACTAAATTATACACAGACCGGAGGTTTTGGATTCCTTCATATTTTTTAGATTTACCCATGAGCGGTGTTCTACGTACCACCTCGCGTTCAGAAGCGGAGAACAGTGCGTACGGTAAAAACACACGCCCACATTGTAGTCTGGTCGAGTTCTACGTGCAATTTGAGAGCGTCCTAGAAACTCAACGGCACAGACAAAGTAAATTAAATGCTGAGAGTGAAGGGTCCTTGCCTGATTTCAAAACTCCTTTAGCATTGGAGCGACACATGGCGCAGGTATTTACCTTAACAGTGTTTTATGAGCTCCAGGTAGAGATCGAAGCTGCATGTTTTTATTGCAGTGTTGTGGGGATCCATGCATATGGTGAGTGCATCCGTTACGACATTAGAGGGGAGTACAACGTTGTCCATACTGTTGAATATACCCCGTCTTTGACTATTGCGACATGTAGCTGCAAGTTGTTTGAAAGATTGGGGTTTGTTTGCCGGCATATGTTTCTTGTGTTCAAAGATGCCGAAATGGTGAGCTTGCCATCGCGGTACATCGCAGCACGATGGTGTAAGCAAGAAGGACTAGCTAGCTGGTGTGCTCGATGTTCTGACTGCCCTCCTTTAGAAACTGTGCCTAGTCAGTTGTGGACTGAGATACACAATTGTGCCGTGATAGTTGGAAGCAATAAAGTGCGCCAAACGCGAATGCTACAGGTAATAAAAGAATTAAGAGACGAGTTTCTGGGCGACGGTATGGACGTTGACCCCTCAAAAGTAAACGGTGTTGCCATTGCAGCTTTGTGCGGTGTGGAGCCGCCGACGTCCATAATTATCAAACCGCCAGCTCAAGCAAAAAACAAAGGGACCGGCAAGCGAATTAAAAGACAACGCGAGTTAGCTATTGAGAGGAGTGGCAAGGCTAGCAGAAAGTGCGGGGTGTGCGGCGAGTATGCACATCATAATGCCCGCAGCTGTCCGTTGAAGTGATTAGTGCGCCCAAACAGACATTACTGGTTATGATTAGATACATTGGGATTTTGGCTAATTTTATTAATTCTAGGTTTCTATCCTTTGTATTTGGTTATTAATAATGACTTTGGAGTGTTTGTCCATTTTATTAATTCATTCCTCTGGCGATTTTAGCTAATTTTATTAACTCTACGTTTATATCCTTTGTATCCGATTATTAATAATGACTTTGGAGTGCAGATGCATGTGTATCTGGTTATTAATAATGACTTTGGAGTGTTTGGAGTGTGTGTGGGGTCTGCTTTCTGTGGTACCTGAATGGTGATTGGTTAACCTTCTAAAAACTATTAATTTTTTTTTTTTTTTGTGGGTGTGGGTGTTTGGCTGCCCGCATTATGACTGGTAAGTGGGGTTCTTGGATCTAAATACTCATGTTATCATTCTGTTTGCTATTAATTTGTCCTAGGGATTCAAGGTGTTCAAATGTGGGGAAAATATATGTTGTCCTAGGGATTCTCTTGTGGTGTAAGCTTGTAATACCGATAAAAAGTTTCCAAATGCTTGTGTACCTTTGTTATAGAGTAAATATTTGATGTTATCACATCTTTGCTTGTTTTTATAGTTATTTTGAATCATCTCCGTATTTAAGTTCTTTAATTTTGATTATTTAATACACATTTTCCTTGCTATTATCATTTAATTATGGTTCACACTGGTTTTGAATGTTTTACGGTGTTTGTTAGTGTTTTTGAACCATTTTAGGTCAAAGATATGAGCAAGGGAAGTTCAAGGATGAGTTTTGAGCAATTTTGGACAAGTTCGGGGCCCAGAGGACTCGACGCGTCGAAAATTTCCAGTAGCATCAGAAGTCGAGACCAGCAGGTCTCGACGCGTGGAGAATTGGCTCGACGCGTCGGGCGCAGCAGGTCTCGACGCGTGGAGAATTGGCTCGACGCGTCGGGCGCAGCACGAAGTCGCGAGATATTTGAGTCCAATTTGAGTCCAATTTTGTACCAGATTCCTATTTCGTCTCAACTTTATACCTACTATAAAATCCCTCCTTCCTCAACCCTAAAAAACAGACCGGGGACCGAGAGATTTTTAAAGTTCTTTGTAGACAAGAGAGAGAGAGATCAAGAGGCTCAAGTCGTCTTTGGAAGCAAGGAGGAAGCCAGGGAGATTTGGGAGAATCGCTTGGTTAATTCTTGTACTCTTCTGATGATTTGTAATCATTTATTCATATTTGCTATGTATAATTTAGCCATGCTCGGCTAAATTCCTTAGGGATTTTTGGGTGAATTTGTTTATGAACCTATGTGCCTAGTTCGTTAATTTCTTAATATATTTATGTTTGGTTTTATGATTTGTGTTGCAATCTTGTTTTAATCTGTTGTTGTTGGTGGTTAAAGGCCTAAATTACTAGCTTCACAGTCATGTTTGTGTCACCAATGGGAGTTGGGGCATAAATTAGGGCACACACGATTGCACCTAATGGTTGGTCCTTGGGAAAGGGGAACTTATTAGGGGAAGTTTATTCTAGATTATTGCTCATCGGGAGATGGTAGTAATTAGGAATAATTGAATGCTGATCTTTGATCTTATTGGGTGTTTAAGCCATGGGAGTGGAAATTCACTAGGAATAGAGATTACGGGAGTAATTCGATTCCACTTTGCATTCCCATACAAATCTTAATTCCAAACCAAATATTACAAACGTTAATTGGCACTAGGTGATTAAACATTGTGATCCCAAGAATCCTATCTTGCTCTATTGTCTACAAAACCTTGTTACTTATTTTATTCTGCTTATTATTTTATGCAATCAATCAACCTTCAAGTTTTGTTCGGATTAGTTTCATATGAGTAACCTAGTAGCTAGTGATTAGTACACCACCTCTCTGTGGTTCGACAACCCGAATACTCCGGGTATTATTTGTTTGCCCCAAATTACAGCAATCAAATTGGCGCCGTTGCCGGGGAGGTGGCGTTACGTACTGACATTAGTGAAAGTCTTGCTTTAGGAGTCTAGTTCATTTTTTCTTTTATTTATTTATTTTATTTATTTTATTTGCTAATCCATAACAAGTTCCTTGTTCTTGAGTGTGATTTTGCTTTGAATCTAAGAACTTGGCTTTTTATGCATACACGATCTCGTGGGAAAGAAGGATTATTACCTTTGAATCTTGAGATTGAGAAAAGAGCCAAGTTTCTTAGGAAACAAACTAGGATGGCACAGGTACAAGAAAACCAAGCTGGAGGGAGATCAATGTCTGACTACCTTGCTCCGGATGTTGAGGAGCATGGTAGCATCAATATTCCAAATGTGGAGGCCAATAACTTTGCAATCAATCCGGCCATACTCAGCATGGCTGCGGCAGATCGATTTGGAGGGATGCCCACGGAAGATCCCAATGCTCACGCCACCAAGTTCCTACGACTTTGTGGCACTTTCAAGATAAATGGAGTCACTCAAGATGCTGTCAGACTTAGGCTTTTTCCCTTTACACTGAAGGACAGAGCTGACGATTGGTTATCCTCACATCCAGATAACCATTTTGACACTTGGGACAAATTACATGGAGAATTTTTGAAGAAGTTCTATCCTATCTCCAAAACTCAACGGATGAGAAGGGCAATTCAAAACTTTAAGCAACTGGCAACCGAGTCCCTCACCGAGTCTTGGGAGAGATTTAAGGAATTGAAGAGGCAATGTCCACACCATGGATTTCAAAGTTGGGATTTGATGATGTCTTTCTATGAAGGATTGCTTGATAATTCTAGGATTTTGGTGGATGCTTCTTCGGGTGGTTCGTTCACGATTCTAGAGCCAACACAAGCCGAGGAACTATTGGAGAAAATTTCTATGAATGGATCTACTTGGTACACGGAGAGGTCTCCACAAAAGCTGGTAGGAGGAATTCATGATGCGGGGCAGTTAGCCGATTTGTCAACAAAGTTGGATAACGTGGTCTCCTTGGTTCAAAAACTTGCCCAAATCACCAGCCAAAATCACAATTCAGGGGATTGTATCGACGAGTTCAACTCCCAAACCTCTATGGAGCAAGTTAATATGTTGGGATATAATAGGCCTCATCAACAGTCTTACCAACCTCAAGGGACCTACCATCCTAATAACTCAAGGAACCATCCCGGTTTTTCATGGAGCAACCCAGTGGGAGCCGCCAACCCTCAACACTTTGTTAATAGAGGTCCTCTGGGTTATCAAGGTACACAAGTTCAATCTAAATTTCCTGTTTCAGAGGCCCCACCACAATCGAATACGGACCTTTTGTTGGAAAAATTGATTAAAGGTCAGTTAGAGATGACAGAAAGGATGGATAAAATGGAAGCTCGCCAAAATCTGGTTGAAAGGCAATTAGCAAATCAACCTTCTATATCAAGTACTAAAGTCACAGGGAAGTTGCCAGCTATGCCTGAAAATCCAAGGGAGCATGTAAATGCAATTGTCACAAGGAGTGGCAAAATACTTGAAGAGCCACCTCTTCCAATCAAAGCATCAATTCCTAAAAAGACAGTTGAGGAGAAGATTGAAGAGATACTTGATGGTATAGAAGATGAGCCAATTGCTGTGCAAAATAATCCACAAGTTCAAAAGGAAGTAGAGAAACCTGTGAGAAGGTATGTACCCCCATTGCCTTTTCCTCAAAAATTTGAAACAACAAAAGAAAGTAGGTGGAAAAAGTTTTTGGAGATTGTTGAGAGTTTGAAAGTTTCAGTTCCCTTACTTGATTTGCTTTCACAAGTTCCCTCTTATGGAAAATTTTTGAAAGAGATTCTAGCTAAGAAAAAGAAATATGGGGAACGAGAGATGGTAGCTGGGGCACAAGAGTATCGAGCGTTGACCCCGGGAATTGGGAGGAATATACCTAAGCATAGAGATCCGGGAAAGTTCACAATTCCTTGTGTGATTGGAGGCCGACCGTTAAAGGGATCCCTTTGTGATTTAGGAGCTAGTGTGAGTGTTATGCCTCTTACTCTTTGTCAAGGGTTAGGGTTGGGAAAACCAAAACCAATCCAATTCACCTTAGAAATGGCGGACAGATCCATCGTTAAGCCTATTGGAATCCTTGAAGATGTCCCAGTTCGTGTGGACAAGTATTTTGTGCCTTGTGATTTCATTGTGATAGATGTCCAAAGGAACTTAGACGTTCCACTCATTTTGGGGAGACCCTTCCTAGCCACTATTGGAGCAATAATTGATGCAAGGAAAGGGTCCATGATTTTTGACTTTGGGGAGGAAAAAGTGGAATTTAATGTTCTTGATGAGCCAAAAATCATTGAATGCAAGTCAATTTTGAACATCGATCCTACTCTCAAGGTTTCACATGATGAGTATTTGCATTTGAAGAGTCTATGGGGTGATGAGATCAAACTCGCGGATCAACCAGGATGAGCACTCCATAACCAGGTTAGGTCGAGCTAGCGACATTAAACTTAGCGCTTCATGGGAGGCACCCCATGTTATCTTTTATTTCTTTCATATTTATTGCTTTCTAGTTTAATTTTATTGCTTTCTAGATTCATTTTATTTAGTTTTATTGCTTGCTAGTTCGGGATTATTTTATTGCTTTTTAGTTTTCTCTTTTCTCTTGTTCTACTTTTCTTTTGCATCAGGGATGATGCAAAGTTTTAAGTGTGAGGGGGAGGAATCATTAATTTGGGGATATTTCTAAATTTTAAAAATTTTTGCTTTTGCTTGGATGACTCATATGCTATTTTTGGTGAATAAGTTACTTGTCTTAGCATGCAGTTACAATTACTCTCTCTTGTTGGTTTGTGGTTTGTTTTAGTGGTGCTTGCTGCATCTCAATTTGTGATGGATGATTTTGAGGTGTAACACATATTTGATCTATTCCCTTGCCAATAGCTTTGTTAACCACTTAATAATTGGATTAATCCTTGATCTTGTGTTTTGCATTGCTAGAGAAGGCTTATGTGAGATTCCGGTCATGGGTGTTTTTGCTAGAACTTGCCTCATTACTCCCTAAGTGATGTCT